CTCTCTCTCTCTCCCCCACTCTCCCTCTCCCTCACCCTCTCTCTCCTCTGTATATTTGCCACGTACCCATGACTTCCTCCCAGGAGAACACAGGCCCCTCGAGGACAGGCTCTGCGTCCTTGGCTCAGCAGGCCCAGGCCCTGGCCCAGAGGACCAGTACGGCCACCATGTTGTTCCCTGGGGCTGTGGCTGCCTGCGGCGGGGGCTGTGTCTCTAGGCATGCCTGGGTCCTGGGTTCTGGCTTCTCTCCTCCTCTTCCTCTCCTGGTCTTGACCCTCCCTGCCCTGTGGGCCGTTCTGATCCTCCCCACAGGTGATCCTCGTCGCCAACGACGTGGCCAAAGAGAAGATCCCCGAGGAGCTGGGCCTGGCTCTGGTGCTGACCATTTATGAGGCTAAGGGTTTGGAGTTTGATGACGTTCTCTTGTACAACTTCTTCACGGACTCAGAGGTATTTGAGGTTCCCTGTGCGTGGGTGTGGTGAGTGGGAGGGAGGTGGGGACGGGGCGCTCAGACCAGGTGGAGGTGACCGCTGCTTCCTCGCTTCCCGCTTCCCTCCCTGCTGCCCGCTGCTGACACACTGGGTGCCACGTCCGGGGTGGTCCACGGCCATTCTGGCAGTTGCTCTTGCCTCCAGGATCCATCCGGAAGGACTTTGGCTGTGGGTGCTAGGTTGCCAGCCTTCTCTTTGGGGTGTCCTTGGCGGGAAGGCTTCACTTGGTGCCCACGACCTCTGGCCGTCTGGCACATGGAAGTGAGGCCTTCTGAAGGCCCCCGTCCTGTGCTCACCGCAGGCTCGGGTTGGCTTTCCCACATGGGCCATCTTTGTAGAGGAATGCTCGGTGTGTGGCAGATGCTGCCTTAGCACCAGCTTTTGTCTCGAGCTGATTTGGTGGGGGCTGGGGTTGGGGAGGCAGTTCCCTGCAGGGCTCTGGGGCCAGGCCTTGCTCTGGCCCTCCCGGCCAGTCTGTGCTAGAGTGTCCTGACCCACAGGGAAGGTGTGGACTCTGGTCCAGAGCGGGACGAGGGCCCTTGTCGGCCCCACGGCCCGGCTGAGCAGCATTCGCCAGCCCAGGAGCCCCTTTCTGCCTGGGGAGAGGGGAGCTAACTCTCCTGGCCTGCAGCGTCACCTTCCATCACTGGTGAAGGGAACAGGGCTGGGGGTCCTTCTACCGCCCCCTCCTCATAAGGGCAGGGGCTTGGCAGCTGGTCCCAGTGGAGGCTGGGGGGTTCCCGAGCAGCCCCAGGCCGGGCTGGAGGCAGATGAGAACCCGCCAGTTGTGAGAAAATGGCCCTTCCCCTGGGAGGGGGCAGGGGGAGGGCTGTCACTTTGGTGGTTTGCCCCTTCTCTGGCTTTGGAATGGATGCTCCATGAGGGTGGGCGTCACGTTGATGGTTTTGTCTGCATAACTCCCAGCCTTTGTCCTAGGGTCTGGCCTACGTTGGGCCTCCATCAGGGCTTGTTGAGGTGACCGGTTGAAGACCCTCTCCATGGCCCCTCCTAGAGCAGGGAATTAGAGAAAAGGAGGAGGGGGAGCCCCGGCCCATTGTTCTTTGGGGTGCCTCTCCTGCCCCAGCACCCCATGCCGGCTCTGCTCTTCTGGGCCCACTTGTGCCTTGGCATCTGCCAGAGGTATCAATTCCCTAATCCTAGTGCTGGCTTCTCTGTCTCTCTTGGTCGGGCAGCGGCTGGCCCTCTGCTAGCTTCTCTGTTTCTGCTGGGTGGTCTGGCCGGCTTGTAGCCGGCTTCTGTCTCTCTCTGACAAGCGGTCCAGCCTGCCCGCTGCCAGCTTCTCTGTCTGATGGGCGGTCCAGCTGGCTCCGCCGGCTTCTCTGTTTCTGCTGGGTGATCTGGCCGGCTTGTAGCCAGCTTCTGTCTCTCTCTGACAAGTGGTCCAGCCTGCCCGCTGCCAGCTTCTCTGTCTGACGGGCGGTCCAGTCGGCCTACTGCCAGCTTCTCTGTCTGACGGGCGATCCAGCCGGCCCACTGTCAGCTTCTCTCTCTGATGGGCGGTCCAGCCGGCCCACTGCCAGCTTTTCTCTCTGACGGGTGGTCCAGCTGGCCCTCCGCCAGCTTCTCTGTTTCTGTTGGGTAGTCTGGCCAGCTCGTAGCCAACTTCTGTCTCTCTCCGACGGGCGGTCCAGCCGGCCTACTGCCAGCTTCTCTGTCTGACGGGCGGTCCAGCCAGCCTGCTGTCAGCTTCTCTCTCTGACGGGCGGTCCAGCTGGCTCCGCCGGCTTCTCTGTTTCTGCTGGGTGGTCTGGCCAGCTCGTAGCCAACTTCTGTCTCTCTCTGTCGGGCGGTCTGGCCTGCCCACTGCTGGGCTGCTCCTGGCTCTGCCCAGGGGAAAGTCAGCCTTGCCCTAAGGACCACATCAGGACTCAAGGGAGAGGCAGGGGTAGAGTTGGGCCATCCCTGAAGACGTGACAGAATAGTGATGCTTCCTCACGTCAGCAGGCAGTCACAACTTGACAAAACTTAGTTGAAAATGAGGTTTATTACAAGAGAAATGAGCCCACATCCACATTTTTACATATTTTTACGTCCTCAGGACAGAGGAAGGAGGAGATCCCAGGAAGGGGTGTGGTGTGGGGAGGAAAGGTGCAGGAAAGGTGGGACGAGGATGGCCCCCCCCCAAAGGGGAGGAGCTAGACCGAGCCAAAGCCACATCCTGTGAAGAGAGGTGGGTCTGCTTAGTACAGGGTCCCAGCCTGGCGCAGACACCCAGGGACTGCAGCGTGGGGTGCACGTCTTGTCCGCTGAGGGGACTCCTACGGGCCCTGGGTCCAGTGTTTCTGGCAAATATGGCAACTCAAAAAGACATGTTCAGGGGACCCCTTGACAGTCCTGACCTCTTGAGCCTCTACAGAAACCCTCCCGTGTCTCTGGGAAGGTGCTGGGGCAGTGTTTGCAGAGATTTCCTCGGTTTAGTGACAGGCCGGCCACGGAGCCACATGGAGCAGACGTGGAGTGGGAGGGGCCTGGGTGGCAGTGAGAGGCCTCGGGCGGATCCCTGCCCAGATCACATGGGTCCTTGCTAGGCTCTGCCAGGGGCTGGACAGAGTGGTCAGGGGTTTGGGTTAGGTCCAGTCCTGGGATCTCAGTGACTTAGGGAGCTCTTGGTGTGGAAAGTCCCTTCACAGATGCAGGGTGGCCATCACCTGGGGTAACCTGCCCAGGGGCCCACCTTCCCATCGTGTCCAGCTAGCCAGGGTGGAGGGCTCCAGGAAGGAGTCGGGGCTCGCCTGCCTTGGGGGTGGGCCCTGTGTCTCGAGCCCCGAGCAAGGTGACTGACGTGGCATCGGGGGTGGGGGCGGCATCTCTTTGGAGGCTGCTGAGAGTAGTGGGGGGACCCCACTTGTGGACAGGCTGCTCTGAGGATGGCGGCAGGGGCGAGGCCCGGCTGCCACTCACATTTCTTCTCCCGTGATCACGCAGGCGTACAAAGAGTGGAAGATCATCTCCTCATTCACTCCGTCGTCCGAGGGCCGCAGCGAGGAGAACAAGCCGCTGGTGGAAGTGTCCTTGGAGAGGACGCCCACGTCCCCGAGCCGGCCCCAGCTGCTCAACATGGAGGCCTACAAGGTGAGCGTGCTCTGCAGCTCCGTCCTCAGGGTGAGGCCCGATTCCTGGTCTTGGGGCCTCTGATGCCTGCCCAGCCCCTGCAGGGCTTAAGGCCTGCCTGCTTGCGGGTGGACAGGCGGACGCTCCTGGCTGGGCCCTTTCTCGGCCCCTCCCCTCCCCGGCCCTTCAGCCCTCGAGGGGTCCGCCAGGAGAGTGTAGCCTGGGCCTGGTGACAGAGGGATGGGGAGGAAAGCCTTGTGAGGAGGGCAGATGGCGGGTACCATGAACGGAAGGGTTGGCGAAATGCCTGCCCTCCAGAGGCTTCCCCTCTCTCAAGGGGCAGATGGTGTCCGGAGCGACGCCTCACGCCGGCCTGTGCCTGCACTGCCTTACAGCTTCTCAATGGCGAGCTGAAGCAGCTGTATACGGCCATCACGCGCGCCCGCGTCAACCTTTGGATCTTTGATGAGAACAGGGACAAGCGGGCGCCCGCCTTCAGATACTTCATCAGGAGAGACCTCGTCCAAGTGGTCAAGACGGACGAGAACAAAGGTGAGGCTGGCGCCCAGGACCCCGGTGGGGCGTCCCCCTTCCCAGGTCCCCTGTGTGGGGCTGGTCTGAGGGAGGACCAGAGTTGGGCTTGCCCCTCTGCTGACCCCCGGAAGCCTCGCAGGACTCTAGCCCCCTGGGCTGGAGAGGCCCTGGCTCTGGAGTCCCCTCAGGGCCTGGGGTTCCGATCTTGATTCCCCGCTTACCCTGACTTTGGCCAGGTCCCTGGGCCTCTTTCCTCTTCTGTAAAAGGAGGGAATCGAACAGCATGACCTCTGAGGTATGCAGGCTGGGGCCCCTTCGGCCCTGCCCTGACCTTGGAAAAACAGGGCTGGGCCCGGGGTCTGGTCCTCTGCCGCCTCCGCCAGGCTGTGTCTAAGGCGGCCACAGCAGGGAGGGGCTTGAGGAGCAGGCGGCCGGGCACCAGCCGGGCACAGGATGCATGGTGTGTCCTACCTTCTGTGCAGACTTTGATGACAGCATGTTTGTGAAGACGTCGACCCCGGAGGAGTGGATCGTGCAGGGAGATTACTATGCCAAGCATCAGTGCTGGAAGGTGGGTCCTGAGGGTGCCGGAGGGCATGGGTCAAGGATGGGGAGAGGCGTGCCCTGCTCTGGCCGCCTGTGGCTGGATGGGCCCCTTTCTTACTGGCTGCCAGGCGCTCACTCATTCCCTTGCACACCGATTCACTCCCGCACTCACCCACTCATTCATTCTTTCATTCATTCATTCATAGTAATGATAATAACTAACACTTATATGGTGCTTACTGTGTTCCAGTCACTCATTTGTTCCCTCACATACTCATTCATTCACTCATTCATTCATGGTAATAATAATAATTAGCATTTATGTGGTGCTTACTGTGTGCCAGGCACTCATTTGTTCCCATGCATACTCATTCATTCACTCATTCATTCATTCACTCATTCAAAGTAATACTAATAACTAACACTTCTGTGGTTCTTGCTGTGTGCCAGGCACTCATTCGTTCCCATGCATACTCATTCATTCACTCATTCGTTCATTCATAGTAATAATAATAACTAACACTTATATGGCACTTACTGTGTGCCAGGCACTCACTCATTCCCTTGCGTACTGCTTCATTCCTTCACTCATTCATTCATAGTAATGGTAATAACTAACATTTATATGGCGCTTCCTGTGTGCCAGGCACTCATTTGTTCCCATGCATATTCATTCATTCAC